GGCAGGACTGAGAACTACTAGGTTTCACTTCCTCCCTGCACAATGCCTTAACAACTAGGTTGGAGATGCACCTGCTCTTGCTTTTGCACACTCCCTCTCTGGCTCCACAGAGCTCAGATTCTTTCCTGCACACTCTAACATCTTTAGGAAAAAGGATAGCAAATGTCATCATCCCAGAAGAGTGTCTAAGAGGATAGTTGGAATATGCGGACAGGTGGAAACTTAAAAGAAGTTAAAATCCTCTTTGAAAAAGGAGGGAAGTAAACCCAAGCATTCCCTCAGTCTTTTTAAGCATTCTCATAGCTCCCCTGGATCCTCCCCAAGATTTTTTGAGTATAAAAGCAGAAGCCACAGGCCGCAGGCAAGAAATCTGAAGTAGTCATGACCTTGAGAGTATCGGGATTTAAAATATCCCCATTCTTTTCTTTTCCTGTCAGCCAACAATTCTCTGGAGGCCTATCAGAATTTTAATTAGTGACATGCCAGTCTACATGAGGAGCCTGAGCACTTGACATGGGGCCTTGGAGGACACCCTGGAACCAGGCACCTTAGTCCTTTTCTGTAGCTAGCCATAAACCAAAATCAGAACTCCCTGCTGCTTCAGGAAGAGCAGAAGAGAAGGCAAATCATATACACTCTTTTAAAACCTTAATGTTTTAATCATAGCATTTTAAAAAATTACACATTGAATACTCTCTGAAATTTTTTTTAAAAAGGTAAATATATCTGGTTTTCATTTCCTGTGCAGTGGTCTATAATGTTATCACATTGTCATGGATTACTCTTGATCTCCATTATCCTGCCATTCAAGTCGTATTGTCATTCCTCCCTCTAGGTGGACAGAAACAGTACAGATCAATCCTTCGGGTGAACCATATCTCAACAATATTTTACTGATAACAATAACTTTTAAGATAAAATATATTGAAATTCCTCCAAGGGAGCATAACTGTGATGCTTTACACTTTTCTCTCTCAGTATTTATCTGGTATTTATTCAGCCATTCCAGTTGTAAATTTTACCACTGAAAGTTACTAACATTTTATTAAGATATTTTGAAAATAACACATTTATCCTTCCATTCTACCCATGTGTGTCACTCTTTGTATCTGACGCTGTCAACACTTAATTTCTAACTGTGTCACCTTTTCCACATGTTTCATTCCTTGCTGCCATTGATTCTCCTCCATTTCATCTCTACACTTCTGCTTTTATGATGCAGCCACCTAAAAAGCTTTTGGACTATGTTCAAGACAGTTCTTCTGGTGTTTCCAATGAGGTAAATGAATGGTTCTTTTTCAGATGATTCTCTTGGGAAGAAGGGTTGGAATGCTCACCGTTTATGACATATGTTTGTTAAAATTTAGTGGTCTCTTTCTGCTAGCTATGAGACATTTCTAATTCACAATCATTGTATCTTTGTCTTCATATCTTTCCAGATCACTAGTGCATTTGGATGTTGATCTTATTATCCTAGGAACTGTGAGTCCTTATCCCCAAAACTTCTCAGAGATTAACACCCAGAATTACACAACACTCCATATGTCTCTAACTCTTTGACAAATTCCCACTTTTCAGAGTTGGGCAAGTGCATTGCACAATTAATCCATCAGCACAGTATATTTTTTAATTAAAACATCTGACTGCAGATTCTATGTGTCAAGTGAAAGCCTTTGTGGCTAAGTTGTCATTTCTCCAATTAAGTATTTATGACTAAGGTTGTTCATCAGGTAAAACAGCAATTAATAGTACTGTTGTAATTTATGACTCAGGATTGGCAGTTTCTGTCAGTACTCGAAATAAAACTCATCAAGACCAGGTAGTGGGCTGACATTGCCCTACTCTGAGTGGGAGAGATTCAGGCTTTCATTCCTTCTCCACTCCCTCCGCATTTTTACAGCATTAGGGCAAAAGTCAGTGAATCCTCTACTGGCAACTTTGCTTCATATGGTGGCTTTACTTCATTCATATTTGTGATTCACTATCATCTTCCGTAGTTTTGCCAAAAGGTAAACTCAGTTTGTGGTCTTAAATTGCTAATTGTTTGCAATTTACTCTGGTTTGGTTTTAAGCTCTCTCTCTATATAGAAAAACCTCATCGTTGTGAAATTTGGGCCCAGTTCTCTGATAGAAAAAGCTTCTATGCCTTTTCTAATTCCTGGTGGTTTTTAATATATCAAGGAAGACGATTTAAAAGCCCTAACAAGACTTTGAAATATTCCCATGTTCAGTAGGTCTGGGTAAAAGAGCTGTTAATTAACACTAGTTTTCTCTTTGATTAATTTTCAAAAAGTCCTGTCTTAAATTTAGAAATTTTAATAATCTTTAAATATCATAAATTGTGTTCAAAAACTACAGCAACTTAATATTTCTCTGGAGGGGGAGACCATTCAAAATAACTTGATAATTATAACCATCATGCACACTAGCCTATTTGTTATTTACCTTTTACTTTTGCGTGCTTTCTCTAGCTCCATTTTTAGTCAGCATTAAAGCCTTGATGCATGAAAAAAGCTAAAATACAGGCTTAATTTTAAATATGTGTCTCATTTTTTTAGTAAAACCAAATCAAATATTCAAAAAAGACTGTATTTAGTAGTTTGGAGTTGTCATCTCCAATATTTAATTTTTTTTCGAGTGGCCTTTATTCATATAGAGCAGTACTGAATATTGTGGAAGGTGGCTAATTATGTTTGGAGATGGGACAGATGTGTTCAGTTGGGCCATCTAAAAGTAGGTCCATAAACGCCCAAGAGCTGACAGGACAGCTGCAAACAGTAAAACAAGCAGTAAAAAACAACCACACACAGTGTTTACTTTCACCTTTCCTCTCTATGTCACATCAGTGAAGCTCTACCTGTGGAGAGAAGGTATAAACTCCACACATTCTATAAACAATAACATATACCTGTAGTAGAAATTAGTGTTGCAGAATGGGCAACATACAGGATCTGTCATATAGAAAAGACTTCAAAACCAGCATCAAATAAAGGATAAAAGGGCAAGTTACATTCAAGATGATAAGAGAATCTTAAAGGATGAAAAGCAGAAGTCATGTAGTAACCCAGCAGTCAATTTTGGCATGATACACACTTCCAGGCATCTTAAGCTGATCACTGACACACTGTGTATGGCCTGGGGAATGCCGTGGATAAGGAAGTTCCTCTGATGTGATTTCCATTGTGTGATTTACCCATAGCCTTCCACAGGAGACAGTGAGGATCTGCTCTGCCCTTGGGAGTGACATCAGGGTCTGTGCAGCCCTGCAGCTACTACAGGTGGTGGGAAGCAATCACTGCCTCTGGCCATTTGGCCACTGTCACCCCACAGGTGCTCAATGGTCACCAGTGGAAGTGGTTGGCATCTGCACAAAATAATCCACAATGACAACTTACCTGCAGTGTTTTACCACCTCATGAAACAGTTCTGAGAGATCACCTGTGGCCCCCAGTTTCCTTCCTGGTTGGTTCCAGACCGTGGATGTGACTGGTCAAGAGAAGGAAGATGGTTGTGGCCAGTTTTGAAAGGAGACTTGGATGTTTTCCAGGACAGACTGAATGTGTGTTTTATGGGTAGTGCAGGGAAGCACACAGACCTGAGGCCTTTGCTTACTGTGGTTATAGTGGCTGTTGGTGTGAGCAACGTGTCTGGCTTCTATGGTTTTATTGGAGACAGATCTCATAGTATTGGATATGTATCTCAAAATCATTGAATTTGGAGAGTGATGGGAGAATCATCACAAAGTACTTTTAAGCCTTCAGAGGGTATAAAGAAAAACTTGAAAATATGAGCTATGTGAACACTTGGAATTATCTTAGCTCAAGTTTTAGATAACATCTGTTTCATACTGTAGCATGTTTGTGTGGCTCTCCCCGTCCCACAGTCCTACAAAATCTGTTCCCAAATATTCTAAGACTACTGGCAACTTCTGGAGGTGTACCTAAGTGTCAGTTAACAAATCTGGGTGAAGTTCTGTTCATGAACTTGCAAATCAAATCACTGAGGGGGGGGAGAATCTAACAAAAGAAAGGACTTATACAGGCCATGAGTGCCATTACTTCGGCAATCCTTCACAACAAAGATTTTTCCATGCAGAGAAAAAGTCAAGCAGGCTCTCTATAAAGAGGAAAAGTATTTCCTGGACCTTAGAAAACTGTATGATAGTTGTATATATAGTCCATTGGGCCATGGAAAGCTGAAATGACACACCAGGAACTTGAAAGAAGTTTAAATCGTGAACCTGACTGCTTTGTATCCATGAAGAAATACCCCAGGAACCATGCAGTTCATTCTAGACTCATACCTGGTTACCAGAATTGTAATATTACTTAATGCTGACTGAAGGCTTGAAATGGTTGATTTAAAATCAGTCGTCATTTAAGGTTGACTTTGTATTAATAATACAGTTATGGAAGTTCCATCTCCCAGTGTTCATGCAGTAGCTACATCTGTAACTCCATAAGCAATGACTAAAGTTCTGTGATGAGAGCTGTTCTTACCAGGATTATAAGGTATATAAGGCCAGTTGCTGACTACAAACATTATGAGATTGACAAAAGTTTCTGGCTATTACTGATTATAGGATTTTGGTGAGTAACTGAGAGATGAGGAGAAGCTTTGCAGACCTCACATGTACATGAAGAAATAATTTCCAGATTATGTTTTTATAGTAAAGATTTGTTTAAGCTGTTCTGTGTCTGGTTTTAAAAAGTGTATAGAAAAGCATGATTTGAGATCACTATTTAGCAGTGCTTTCAAGGAAAAAAATATTACTGAAGTAGAATAGGAAATGAAATCTAGCAATGCTTTTTAAAAGCTGCATAATTTATTCTCATGAAATGTTGCTGTGCCTGTGACAGAGTGGCCAGGATGGTAATCATCTTGGGCTGTTGTTATAGGATTTGCCACAGAGTAACAAAGAGTCAACAAACATGAAAAACAAAAATTGTCACTCTTTTTTTTTCAAATACAAACATAACAATCCATGTTTGTTTTCACAGGCTTCCTTATATCATCACTATTCAACAGACAGAGGCCTGGACAGGCCCTCTAGGTAAGAAATATTATCTATTACTTCAGCAGACACAGATTATCCAGCCTGAGGGTCTTTGAAATAAGCAGATTTTGTGTAGAGTCAGATTTTAACATTCACCTTGTGAGCTATGGCAAATTAGATACTTGGAGAGAGTGTTGATTTTGATATTGATGATCAAAATAATTTTATTTTAGTTTTACAAGGACTTCGTGTTTACAGTCAAATTAACCATACTTTGTTCTGGGTCTTTCCACTAACATCCCTGAGCTTCTCTCTCAATGGCAGTGATTTATTCTTTACCCTTACTGCCTGCAAAATATTCAGCACTGCTTTCCTAAGCATGATGCCTTGACTGTTCTTGGTCTCTGTCTTTTTCCTATCTTTGCATTAAAATTCTAGTTCCAAAAAACATTCTAAAAGAACTTGATGCATTTATTTCAAAGAAAATGGCATGGTAATGTTATCTAAAACTTTAAACCAATCAGGTTAAGAACAAATTCATCTTTTCATTGGGATATAGGCTGTAAGATGTGTGAGACCAGTGCTTCTTCCCTTTGCATGTTTTTCGTGTATTTATTGTGGCATTTTTTAATCTATAAACCAATAATATAATAATGGCTTTCTTAAATTCCTGATTTCTGATCTCAGAATCAGACTGCTACTGATGCTGCTTTTTTCTGTAGTTCTGCAAGTACTGCGAGCGACTACAGGAAGCGAAGGAAGTCAGAACCTGCTGTAAGTCATCAGAGGGCACACAGCGATCAGAACGCCAACAGACCCAACCTGGGCCGCACAGACACACAGGGCCCGTGTACCACCCTTAGGAAGCCTTTAACTAGCTCATCTCCTTCTTCTCCATCAAGAGCAAAAGGTAAGAGGAGACCATGTTAGTTAGCAGAAAAGTACAGATGTGTTGTGCTGTACCTTGGTAGCAACTGCCTCGTGTCGCTCGGCGCGCTGCCCCAGGGGATGGGATGTGAAGCAACAGCTTTGGGCCTTTCAGGAAAGGCTAACTTGTTTATTCTTATGGGTGTCAATTTAAGCTGAAAAGCTGGATTTGTAAGAAGGATTTTCCAGTTTCAACTGCTTGTCCTAACAAAAGAGAACTGACTAAAGGAAGACTATAAATTCTACCACAATGTATAAACCCTAACACTTTTATTAACTCTACTACTCTCTTACTAGATTATTGTGATTTTAAAACTAGTTTTATTATACTGAGGAAGAAATAACCTGTAAGATTAAAGATATGTTTCCAGGATAGCAGACCTTTTAAATCCATACCTGATGTCTTAGACATTGTCAGTTAGCAGGACCTAATTTAATCAAGAAACATCCATAGTCTGATTTTTTATTTTCTAAATCCTCGGAAGTATTTAGTACAGCTGATGCAATCTAATTAGCTTATTTTTTGGCAAGCAACTCACCATCCCATTACCGTTTTCCACATCTCTCCAGGAAAGAGATCACAGAGTCAGTTGTACATTTGGATCTGGAGGTTTGGATGGGTTTTTCTAGAAAGACAAAAGGCTTCCAGTAAAACATAAAATAGAAGTAATATATAAAATAATACTACATACGTCTCCTGTTCAAATTACTATTATTCTCTTAATTGCTCTATTTTGTAGCTATACTAATAAGTAAACCTCTGTAAAAGTAAATTCTCAGTGAAAATAACATAATATCCAGACTGCAACAAAATGTGTCAAAGAAAAGCAGTGAGGAATACTGAGCGTGAAGTGGTTGAAAAGCAAATGTATTTTAAACATTTAAAACATTAAAGTGTTATAGCAGTAATTTTAAAAGTGGATTAACTCATCCATTTGGTTTACCAGGCTAGGCAGTAAAAAGCTGATAAATTCACTTGCCTGCATGTGCCTTTGACTCTACCACCAATAACAAGCACTAAGTATGACTTCAACACTTCTTGTGTTTGAAAATCCTTCTATTAATAATAATCTTCCACAGCCAATTAGCTTTCAGAAGGTGACACTGTTTTCTCCCAGCATTATGACCCCTGTAGAATGTTAATTTTTCTTGAAATTAACCAATTTGTTAAAGAAGGAGCACATTATAAACAGTTTAATCAGCATGAGTTTTGAACTCAAGTGTTTGTTTCAGATCTAGATTCAATTTTTTTTAGAAAGTAGACTGAGCTGTTTGAAGCATCCTTCCTGAGCTGAATGTTGCCGCTTGAGACCAGTTTTGAAAGTTCAGTACAATTATGAAAGACCACCATTCCAAATTTGTCTCATAGTGTCTTCTAGATCTACCATGCACATAAAAATATGTCTTAAAGCTTGAAAACTCAGGCCTTTGTTATGGAAGTCAATCTAAGGGTTATTTTTTACTTCTGTACTGTGGTTAGGCTCAGTAAACTGATACACCTTCCTTTACACATGTATAGCACTTCCTGAGCTGCCTTTTTGTGCCCTCCATAAGCTGTACAAAACTGTACAGCTTTCAGTGCTATCACACAGGGAAGGACCAGGCTACTTGTGAATGACTTGGAGAAATTTCCTATTTCATCTGATACAAAGATTTGTCTTTATTTTAACTATCTTAGAATATGTGGATGCTGTGAACTCTGAGCATTATACAGGTTAAAAATCCTAAACAACTTTTTCAGAATGCTCAGATGGAAAAGTCAGTATTACCCTGAAGTCTAGATTTGTTGTGTGGCTTCATCTTTAAATCCTTTGCAGCTTCTATTGTCTGTTGACCTGCTTAAAAATCCCACTTAATCCCCAATTAATGCCTGATTTCTTATGTTGCTTTAATGGCAGGGGTTGTTGGGGAGATAACATCTCCATAATTAATAAGGAATTCTTTTTGTTGTTCAAATTATCATGAGTGCATTTTAGCAGCTGTAAAATAACTTTACTCTAGCTCTGCTGTCCTAGGCTTTAACAAACTATGTACTGACCTAAGCTGATAGATGCACTAATTGCTATCTCTTTTCTAGCCTTTCTAATACTTACTGATGCTAATTCCAACTTTCTAAATCTTTTAATTTCTGGCAATGTCTCTTTTTTACCATGCTGCTCTATGGATTATGAAGGTGGGGATATTAGCAAAGTATATCCATCCCTTTTAAGTTACTCAGTGCACAACCACAACACCTCAAATGAATTAGATTACTGTAGCACTTACAGACAACATTTAGCTGTTCCAAATGATTCAAGAAGGGCAACCAGCTACAAGAATGGCTGGCAAATGACTCGCCAAAATGCAGAAGTCTGGAGCAGCACAGAGGAGGCTGCCTCTCCAAAGAGGAAATCTCGTAGCTGTGATGACCTGTTAACAGATGATCGCGATAGCTACCCCGATGCCCAGGCCAAGGCTGAAAGCATGGGCTCTCTGTTATGTGAGGAGGACTCCAAAGAAATCTGCTCAATGAACTGGAACTCCCCATATGTTGAGGGCCGTGGTAGTGGCAGGTCAAGAGTTCGTCACAGATCTGCACACGATGCTCCAGGTTTCCTGAAGATGTACAAAAAGATGCACCGCATCAATCGCAAGGACTTGATGAATTCTGAGGTGATTTGTTCTGTCAAGTCCAGAATACTGCAATATGAAAAAGAACAGCACAAAGGTATTCTTCAAGGCTGGAGAGAGTCTTCTACTGAGGAGGTGCCCAGAGATATGGTGCCAACCAGAATATCTGAATTTGAGAAGTTAATTCAGAAGTCAAAATCAATGCCGAACCTTGGTGATGACATGTTGTCAACTGTTACATTAGAGCCTCCTAAAAATGGCTTGTGTCCAAAGAGGAGATTTTCTATTGAATCTCTGCTGGAAGAAGAAACTCCAGTCAGACATCCCTCTCAGGTACAACGGAGCTACAAGTCTAAAGCCCTGGTGCCAATTCATATTGAAGTGACCAGTGATGAGCCACAACGATCACATATAGATTTCTCAGACAGCGATCAAGACGGAGTGGTTTCTGATCTCAGTGACTTTATCCAGATAGAGGGTTCATCCTTTTGTAGTGAAAGTGACTTTGATCACTTTTCCTTCACTTCATCTGAAAGCTTTTATGGGTCAGGCCATCACCACCACCACCATCACCACCACCACAGGCATCTCATTAGCTCCTGCAAAGGGCGATGCCCAGCATCCTACACCCGCTTCACCACCATGCTCAAACATGAAAGGGCTAAGCAAGAAACCACTGAAGATCCAAGGAGACAGGAAGCAGAATCTGGCCTGTCTAAGATAGCATTCCTCGTCAGTCCAGTGCCTTTCCGGAGGAAAAAAAGTGCAGCTCCTAAAAAACAAACTGAAAAGAAAAAATGCAAATCATCAGTATTTGAAGCACTAGATTCTGCACTTAAAGACATCTGTGACCAAATTAAAGCTGAAAAAAGGCGGGGAAGCTTGCCTGACAACAGTATATTACACAGACTTATTACTGAGCTGCTTCCAGACATTCCAGAAAGGAATTCATCTCTTAAAGCTCTGAAAAAGAGTCCCATGCACCAGCCTTTTCATCCACTGCCTCAAGATGGTGCTATCCATTGTCCACTGTACCAGAATGATTGTGGAAGATTACCTCTTAGTGCCTCTTTTCCAGACATGGATGCAACTAACAACAATGATAGTGCACTGTGTTTCCAAGGTGGATTAACTTTCTTCCTCTATCCTTGTGACTGACTTATCCAACCTTACTCCCTGTGTTTCCCACCCTTTCTCATTACATTCTGTGTCATCTTTAAGAAGCTTTCATCCCACAAAATTTTTAGTGAAGGACATCATTTTCACGTAGGTGTTGAGGATAGATAAATTTTCTGTCTATTCACAAAATACAGTAATCAGGACAACTGAAGTAGCAGTGCATTTCAACTAATTGAAACTAAATTAGTTCTATAAATTATAATGATATTATTAAGCAGTGTATTCATGCATCATAAGATGCTGGTCAAACTGGAAACAATATGCAGATAACCCTTTCTTTATCACTAAGAAAAAAAGGATCTGAATCTAAAATGTGTTTTACTGTATAACTTCGTTAAATGTAAGTGGTTAAAATGCTGTTAATTCTGCCAGTATCATAGAAATTCTATTCAGTTTTCTTATTAACCCACTGCTTTGTGCTACTTTTTGTGAATAGATGTTAAGTTCATTTTAGAAAGTTTCCATTTCCACTGTTCAAACGATACAATTTCCAATTTCTGTGGCAGCAAAACTAATTATTTTCATAGAATTTCAAAATGTCTATATAATTTTGAGAAATGTCCTGTCTTCTTAGAAGGGAATTTCTCAATAATCAAAACTTGAATGAAATTGTCAGTGTAAGTATGACCAATCTATTTTTAAAGTTATTGCTTTGTTTGTTGCTCTGCTTCCTTTTTTTTTATTATTTTATTCATAAAAAGAAAATAATTACTTGAAAGATATTGTTGAAATCCCAAATGGATAGAAGAGAGAATATAGAAATTATAGAATATTTGATCAGACCCATTTTAGCCTTATTCTCACATATTTTTGTGTCACTTTTGCAAGTAGCACAATAATAAATACATATTTCAAGAGAAATCAGAATTGAAGCTATTTCTATCTTTTCTTAACTAGTTGTGATAGACCTATTTAGAACAGAAAATCTAGTTAAAAAAACAGCTATAAAACACAGTTCAGAATTGAATTAGTCATACTCAAGGCCTGATAATGATTAGCCCTGGCAATTCTACATGATGAGTACTACATGGTGAGAGTGAAGTTGTTGAAAAATGTGCTGGTCACATATTATAGTTGCTAAATGAGAATTTTCCAGTCTGTGAAGATAAGGAAATTCATATTGTAAAGTAAATTTGGATTTCTAAGAGCTTTTGCAGCTGTGAAGGAGCCTGGCATGAGGAAAGCAGTACACTCTGTCAACATTAATATCGCTAAAGTAGCATGGAGAATGAGTAAAGCAGAATATTCCATTAGTTTCCATCAGCACCAGTCACGGCTGAGCTCTACTTTTAATCAAATTTTGTGTTTTGTTGGATCTGTGTGGGTCTCTTACAACCACACAGAGACCTGAAGGTCATAGCAGACAACTGAAATCTACCAATATTGACTGCATAAGGAGCTGTAGAGAAAAAAGGGAAATTGTTTGTGCTAAAGTTTCTGCATTTTCACTCTTTTCCAATATCCTTCTCTTACTGCTAGAAATAAAAATATATATATATATATGTTTGGAGTCATTGTATCTTTAGGTTTATACAGTAGGTGTACATCCTCATTCAGGAACAAATGCCATACAAAAAAGCTGTCCAGAACTGGGACTATGATATACTTACTGGGAATGACATGCTTACAACCAGTGGCATAAATAATAAAATTATCTCTTTACCTACATTGTATTTATCAATAGCCTCACGTTTTTGTGGCTTAGCTGACAACCAGTTAGAATGGATGAGATGCTTTCAGTTCTTTTCTCTGTTCCACTTGTATTTCCTTAGAAATGTATGAGCTTGGTAACAACACATTGTGGGAATGACAACAAACATAAATCACATTTCCACTAGAAAGTACCACTGTGGTAGTAGGAGACTAAAACAGTACTTCTCAGAATTTAAGAGATAGTTTATTAAATAGTTCTATTTTCATTTCACATTGGCAACTTGCAGAGCTATAGTGTGTATAAGATTTTGATTTTATCCTTATTAAATGAGAAACTATTCACCATCCTGGAATAAACATTGGTAAAACTGCTTTAAAAAAGTCTGCCACATAGATTGGTGAGTAATATGATTTGTATTCCATTTCTTAAAACAGAGTTGTTTTTATGAAGTAACATCCTTTTAAATTCCCTTGTGCTGCCTAACATGTGCCCCTGGTAAAGTAGAAATGCATATTAGATCACTTAGGAGGAAACAATGTTTCTTCACATTTTCTCATTGACGCATGCTTGAATCATGTGTTGTGCATGTGTTTATTTTGTTGACATTCCACAAAATGTCATGCAACCTGATGAAGTCTGAGTACTGCTGTCATGTCTTCCACTTGACCCAGTAGAAGAGCACCCCTTTTCACAGTGAGGCATAAATACACTCTCTTGATCCTCTATCATATTGTTTCTTCTGCTCTGGATCAGAGGACAGCCTTAGCCTCTGCTTAGTTGTTTGTTATTTTTCCTTTAAAGATGCTCTTAATGGTCATATCATGTGCTTTTCTTTCTATTAAATGTAAAATTTCAATATCTTTTCACCCCACTAAACAAAAGCGAGCAGCATCACAGATTTGAATGGTTTTGTTTATCATTGTTTCACACAATCTCTGTTTTCAGTAGACCAGGAGTCTCCTGGAAGCTATTCTTCTGCTTTCACTGATGTGGGACGATGTACTCCAAGGGAGAGAAGAGGAACTACAGACAAAGAGGTAGTGAAACAACAATAAATAATGCAGAGATATCCATATGGAAAATCGGTAACATATTTGAGACAAGATTTGTGTTGGTTTTAAGACACTACAATGATGCAGATCAAAGGAACATTATCTTCCTTTTTCATTAAGGAGATTGGTGCTTCATGAAATGAAAATAAGATCAAGCTTTGTAAGATAAGCTGTATTCTTCTGTTTATTATTAAATAGATATGGACATAAATTCACAAGTTATTGATCAGCTCTGTCAAAACTGATTGGAGTGTGTGTTTGGAACAGAGGAAAATAACGTGACTGGGGAAAGGCTCTTTAGAAACCCAAAGTATTACACAAAGAAACTGCCTTGGTAATTTCAAAACTAATACAAAACATCTATATTTCACCATTATTTTTGTTTGGAAAGCAAATCACTGCTGTTAGTGGATTACAAAAAAAACAGTTATCCTAAGAGCAGTCTCTAACATCTGTAGCAGTTGGTGATTGTAATTAGATACCCATTGCTTGTGGTAATGCTTTGGAAGGGGAAATGGAAGCAGGCATACCATCTTTAAAGTAACACAAAGCATCACTGAAAAGTAAATATTGAAAAATAAGGCATATTATTCTGTATCTTAAGAATGTTTAAAGATCTAGAACTATAAATGCTCTCCAAACAACATAAAAGATTACCATATTTTAACTGCTAATATGTAAGATTTTGCTCTGGGCTGTATACCTTGATAAATGGTAGTATGGTTAGAACTGAATTCAGATCCATTTATACCCCACTGACATGCTGCAATTTGATTAAAAATCTGATTTTTTCAAAAAAGATTTCTCATTACAAAATACAGGCTAAAAATGTTCCAGGAGCCATATTGTGTGTTTATTTTAAAGCATCCTGTGACATGGAAAGTCATCTTTCAATTTGAAAATACGTAAAAGACTTAAATTACAAGCCATTTTTAAGATCACTTTAAAAGGTTTAAAAATATGAAAGAGGAAAGGCATCTCTATTTCCAGTATGTTTTGTACATTTCAAAGTATTTTGTATTTAAACAGCTCCACTGTTCTTTTAATAACCACTTTTTCTGTTATTTGCTTTAGTAGTTACAATACCAGCTGTACCAAAATCAGGAAAGACTGAATAGGGCTTAGCTACAGTTGATATGAATCATATGTTGATATGAATATTCCCTCCTGTCTAAAAAACTGGTTTTAATAACAGCAAGGTACTAAAAAATGCTTTTAAATTTAGGCTATCTTATTTGAAGGAGATCTGTAATGGAAAACTGTATAAGTATTGCAAAATTCAAGTTGACAGAGTCCCTATAATAACTTCAGGGACTTCTTATTATAGTGAAGACAATTCTGTAGGTGTGCTAGATTTGCTAGTCTTAAAATAACAAGAAGGGAAAGAACCAAGTCAAGAACACCTGGCCTGGAATAAAGGTAAAATGCAAAATTTACAAGTGTCCCTTTTTATTCCTGTCATTAAAAGGTGTGCACATTTACGTCATGACAAATAGAAATAGCAGAAACAGCATAATCAGCTCATTCTAGTCACTAGTTCATCCCAGAGAGGCATTTTTTAGAATGGGGCAATCTTACCTGTGAAAGTACCTGCAGAGAAAGACTGAATCACTTTAACAAATGCCCTCATGTTGTTCTGCTGATCACTTCCTCTGAAGTATCTGGTGCTGGCTACTTGTAAGATGCAGACAGTCCATGAGTGAGGCTGTTGGGTCAGATCAGTTTGTATTTTCATTACAATTTTCAAAACAATGAAAGTAAGTCAGCCATACAGGTGAGGAGAGTTAGGGCTGTTTTACAGGGTTTTTTTGAAACAATATTGAGCTTACATGTACTTGGCGACAGAACTTGATAAACATATGAAAGAAATGTTATAATGTGATTGCCTGTGATAGCAAGAGAGCTGCACAGATGACTCAGATCACCTCCAGTCCTGTGCTTTCTTAAAACTATGAATGTAATTATAGAAATTAAAAATATTCCAACTATTTCCAGCTGTCAGAGTGTGTGTGTGTGTATATATATATATATATATAAATGTAATGCATCATTTGCAACTGAAATTCACTTACAGATAACAAGTTTAACATCAAAAGCATCTAAAATACTACAGAATATTAAGTATGTGTAATGTTGTACCTAGAGATCTAGTTACCTACAAGTCACATTGACATAGTTAACATTTTTATTTTCTTTGGTACTTCTCTTAAACATCAAGTTGCAAAGCAGTCTGCATTAAAATTTATCTATTTCCGTTTTAAGAACACTAAGTCCCAAACACCTAACCACCTTAAAAAAGAAAGATGAATATTTAAATGCCTATTTCTTCAAGAACCACTGTAAAGCTCATCCTTTTCTTTTTGGATCTTGGTCACCTTTTAAAAATTGAAAAACACGTTTATCATATAGCAATACCAGGACATACCTGAATGTATTAATCACTTTGCCTGTTTTTCAGAAACTGCCAGCTAGAGCTGTATATGACTTTAAAGCTCAAACATCTAAGTAAGTACTAGACTTTTGTTCATTTAAGAATTTGTAATTCAAGCAAACTCTTTTTACCACTTAAGTGGTGTTTGAGCCAGTTTCAGCAGTGAATGCCATGGGCACGAGGACTCTGCTGTCACAGTAGCCTCTGCATTAGCAAACTGTGAGAAGATATTTTGTAATAAAATTATCTTAAATTATTGTATTCTCCATTGTATTGTTTGAACACCTGAATAGCTGTGCATCATCAGCCTTCTAGAGCACAGGTTGTGAGGGACACACACTGAATGCTCTTTGTTGTGAATTACATTTAGGTGTCAGAGGGTAAATTGCTTAAATTACTGTCATAGATAATGAGTTTATCAAAAGTCTGTATAATAATTCAGACTCTTCATGTCTGTTTTCACATACACAGGCTTTCTGCAGGATGTGACATGCCACATACCAACACACAAAGCAGTGGTCCATAACAAGATTGGGAAGCACTGATTTAGCATATGAGAGAGTCAAAGTAGAATGCCTACAATTAATTTCTGCTGCTGTTCCAGTGATCCAAGACATTTAAACAATCTTTAGATATGACCAAAAATTGACACTAGTATTGCATTAGCTGTGTCAGGACAAAATTCACAACTGAAATTAATTGAAAGAGCAACACATTAGCTCTTGATAAACGAAATGGATGATACAGCAAAGATCTCCCAAACCAGGATCTGAAAATATTCTTAATGATTTTAAAAAGTCCCTTTTTTAGTATCCAACATTTAACATATCGCAGTCTCTGAGTATCAAGAAATGGTGAGAACATAATCCTGATTTCTTCATGCTTCTGAATGGCTGTTACGAAAAAGAATATGTAGAGCAGAAGCACAGCAAGCTGTTATGCTGCAGAAAGGCAGGCATAGGCCATAAAGATGTGGAATACACTCTGTAGTTTCCCTACTGAATTCATGAGGAAAATACCAAGTACCCCTCTGATGCCTGTCATAAAAGCAGTCCTTAAACGGGTGATCCAAAAGACATCATGCTTGCATGCAGACATCATACTAAGTTCTCTGGTGATAACTAGCAATACTTCCTTGGAATCACAATGTCAACCAGGCCTTTGTAATCTATAGATAGTGCATGGGGTTCATAAATGTGAGTCATTTGATTTTCTATGGTATGATCAACTGGTAAATGTACCACAGCTGTGACGCTTTTTCTTCAAATGTTTAGTTGTTGCATTCTGTTTCAGTTCCAAACTGTAAAGATCTCAGGAACCATGCAGGGAGAAGAGTTAAATGTAAAGCTATAAACATCTGATATAAATAAATTTGTTACAGAGAGCTGTCCTTTAAGAAAGGAGATACTGTCTATATCCTCAGGAAAATTGATCAAAACTGGTATGAGGGTGAGCACCATGGAAGAGTTGGAATATTCCCAATTTCTTATGTTGAGGTTTGTTCTTTGTTTTAATTCTTTTAATTAATTTGGGTAATAGGTCCACAAACCACACAAGAATGATGAAAATCTGGTTTTTCTTTTTCCTTAGAAACTTTCTCCCCCAGAAAAAGCACAGCCTGCCAGGCCACCTCCCCCTGCACAGATTGGAGAGATTGGAGAAGCTGTTGCCAAATATAATTTCAGTGCAGACACAAATGTGGAGTTATCACTTAGAAAGGTACAGTTGAGAACTATCTTCCATCAAAATACTATTATAATGTCTCCTGCCACACAGAATCAATATATAGATAAATACTGTGATTTGTGCACTCTGCACTCAAGATTTGCAATGCACAAAACAATGCCATGGTAGGAAGCTCTAACATAGTAGCTTGTTGGCTTGCAGTCTGTCTCAGCTACCTGCAAATACTGTAAATGTGTTGTGCCTTTAATTTGGACTGTGATAGAGTAGCATATGCAACCATCTGCTAACTGCCCAGCTAATTTTTGAGTTTTCACTTCAATTATCTATTCCTTTCTTTAATCATTATTCCTCACTGTCACAATTTTTACAGTAATGATTTTAATGCAGAATAAATAGAAAATTATAGAAGATAAAAGATACTAAAAAACAAAGCCTCAGAGATATTTTTGTAAATGTAAATATTTAATTTAATAACAGTTCTCTGTTTATAATGTTCTGTTATCTTTCCTATGCATGTCCTGGTGGCTATACTGAATTGCACATGAGCAAAATAACTGTTTAATTTCTGAAGTTTGTTATACACTGGAATATTAATACTGTAGAGAATCTTTATTATTGCAGATAATAAATACTTAGTTGTAAGTAGTGTGTACATCTCATCCTCTGGGAAGTTCTGCCCCTTGCTTTTTTTTTTTTTTTTTTTTTAGAATTAGAGTTCATAGAAGCTTTTCAGTGGTTTGTTTTTATTCTGAACAAAAAAGTAAGGATAAAGATGTTTTATTGCTGATCTAGAGCCTAATCCAGCACTACTGAAAATAATGAGTGGTTTTTACTTATTTGAAATTTGTAAAAGTCAGAGAGGTCTAAAAAAACCCTAGGAATAGGAATTTAGAGAAATTAGAAGTTGGGAGTAATTCGGTGTTTTATTTCTTTCTAAAATTAGCTTTTGTGTTTATTGTGGTGATCATAATCTTGACAGCCCAATTTTGGTTTGTTTGAAAAGTTGATTTGCACTGGTTTTCCTGGTTACTGCGCTGCAAAGAGAGAGAAGGGACTGCAACACACACGGACCTCTTTAGGGAAAAAAGGCCAACTTTATTGTACAGACAGCCCGTATTTAAAGTGTGTTACGTGGAGCTAGGACAGGACAGTACCTCAGGATGTATCCCACGGGAAAGACACCAGGTGTTAATCTTTATTATGAATTCCCTTCTGTTTTTCACCATATTATCACCTTGGGAGACTTCCTCCCTAACTGAAGCCATAGTCAGCTTATCAGCCTGGGAATGGACCTGAGAGTCAGGAGAAATCCAGGCCTGAAAAAGAATTTCCAAGCTGTAATTCCCTAGCTCTCTAAATGTGTGTGTCCACATCCATCTCATTAAAGACAATTGTAGTCTCCACACGTCAACTACAGAAATAAAATTAAAGAAACCCAAAAGAATGCAAAACTAATAGGCAAGGATTTGTTTCAGAAAGATAGAGCGAAAAGAACACCATGTAAACCAAATGTAGCTCATGAAGTAAAAGGTTTGAATATAAAGTTGATGTTTTCCATTTCAATTTCTACAGACTCTAAGAACAGTGAGGCCCTGCCCATTTTACATTGGAAAAGCACTTCTTTCTCTCATATTTTCAACAGACTCACACTTTTTAGTTTTCTATCTTCACTTATCCCAGTTTTACTGATAATAAAGCACTTGCATGGATTTAATTGTTTAACTTTTATCACTCTTAAGAAAAAATGGGCATAGCAGTCACTGTTGCATACTATAGTTGGGGCATTACCTAGTAGTTTGACCAACAATTAAAACAGGTTATGTTCCAAAGAAAAGTGTTAATGTTAATCTCCCAAGCGGGAGGAGAACACTACATCAGATTCCCCTAGGATAAAAGAACAGCATTTTCAGTCCATGCCAAACCCCTCCTTTTACTGGGATGGTATTTTTATATATGGCTATTATCAATGAGAGAAAAAGTGAGAAAATGGAGATGATGCTCAAAACTGATGGGAAATAGCACTGTAGGGAAGATACTATTATGTGTTAAAATAATACCTGTTATGTACAAAATTAACTTTCAATGCATGTACTGATAACTCATTTTCATAATGCATTTCAGGGAGACAGAGTAATTCTTCTTAAGCGAGTTGATCAAAACTGGTATGAAGGTAAAATACCAGGAACCAACAAACAAGGCATCTTCCCTGTTTCCTATGTAGAAGTCATCAAAAAGAATCCATCAAAAAGTGTTGATGACTATCCTGACCCTCCGATACCCCAAAGCTATTCTAGTGACAGAATACATCAATTAAGTTCCACTAAGGTAAGGATTTTCTGATGTTTGCTGCCACCACTAGAGTGGGTTTAGAAGGACTTTTAATTTTTTTAACATTGTACTTAACTTAGGCATTAAGTACACAACATTTTCTTTCTTGCATAGGTAGAATTGCACTGCTATGTTTTTAATAAATTATTTTTAATAGACAAGTGTGTCTAATATTCTGCCAGGATTTATGCTCTTTTCTTCATTTGCAATTACGTTATTTTTAGTAGGGACAGGCCAAATTTGGGCTGAAAAGTCAAGCCAACAGAGAAAAATTTATTTGGGAATCTCAGCAAGAATTTGAGCCTTAAGGGTATGTTTAGCAGACTTCTACTAGTACAATGTGAAGACATTTCCATAACACAGCTGTCCTAAAAGCCTATGGTTCTGTAAGCTTGCAGGACACAGCTTGCCAAGACCAATTCTGTACCTTTTGAAGCAAAGGAGAACAGCCAGTGATTCTGTACCAAAACCTTCCTCCTTTTGCCATTCACATTCTAGGCTATTGGTACATTCTTTGGAGTGGTACAAACTGACAGTATTGTTTCACTTAGGAGTGATATGATTGTCATCACATTGTCAATGAACTTGGGTTCAGACCTTCATGGTTGTATATTTTTCACACCAAATGTGTGTTGTAGCTTCCAAATGGTTTTCCTTCCTAGTCTAGATAACCACTATAAATCATACTACAGGGTGCTGCAGAAAGATTCTTATGTTCTTATGATAAGGTGTGTCATTCACTTGTGAGGCGTTGCACTCACCTGTGCAGAGAACATAACATTTTTGGCAGTGATAAAAACTAAGGAGGTTTCTGCATACAAACTATGCTTAGAATTAACATGTTATCAATTATTTTTAACACTCAATGTTGAAACTTTTCTAATCTTCCTCTTTACCTTTGGTGTTTATCTCTTCAGCATGGGCAGTGGGTTTTGTGTTTAATTATAAACTTTTTTATCCTGCTATTAATCCATGTTTCATTTGGTTTTGTCCCCTTTTCTACTTCTATCTACTTCCATACTTGGTGATCATCCACATGCTTCGACTTTGAAATAAGTTCCACATTTGCTTACTTCTTTGGGGTTGTAAAAAGCTACCAAAAGATGTCATTTATAGGCAACATAGCCTCTGAAAATACTTCATATTACTAAGTATTAGTTGGTTTGGGACAGTTTGTAGAACAAGGCTTGTCTGGTTTTCCAGAATGTGTCACAACAGAGAACTAGATGCTATCTCTTCTATTCCCACAAAACTGTTCAAGTAACATCGAATTCTGTAGCTGCCAACAGAGGTGTTCATAAGCTAGGGCCCCTTATTGTTACAGGAATCCAGAGGGTCCTGAAGGCAAGTCAAGATATGAGGCAGCTTAAGTGCTCCATATTCCAGAGATGCTTCTCCTTGTTTCCTATGGAGCAGGCTTCTCTCTAAGGCATCCTACTAAAGCTCCATAGTCCTTGCTGAGCACAGGTGATGCTTCAGAGCATTTACATCCATATTACAAAACCATCCTGCCACTATTATTAAGTTAGTTATTACTAAATTAGTTCATGATGGAAGGAAATTTACCTTCTTTATAACACAGGATACTTATACAGCAATCAGGTCAAAAAAAACCAAACCACCTTCCACTGAGACTCTTAAACAGACATCTTTTTTCTGGATTCAGCTGTATTCAGAAATGGCAATACCATGAAGACATGTTATCCCTGGCTACCTAGAAGAATTTCATCAGTCCTGAAGGTGTTCTAGAGTTTGCCACACTTTCTGATTCCACTTCCCCTATTCCTTTGCAGTTTTTTACCACATACCGCTCCTTGTTGCTAGAACAATTGCACTGAACTTCTCTGGCCTAATGGCAATAAAATGAATAAGCAATATGAGTTATGAGCAAGCTTAGCTCTCTGTAACTTGGCCTATATCATAGCTATATCTTTAGATCTAGTGCAGCTTATAGCCACGGGAAAGTAAAAATGGCAAAGTCTCCTCAGCAGTATAATTGAGCTTAAAACCACAGGTTAGGGGCCCTTGCCTTAAGAGGAATGATGAGGGAAAGAGACTAAGTATTTCTGTAACAACCTAGCTCTGCTTTAGCAGACTGCATTGTATCAGTCTATACTGTTTACTTTGGTACAGAAGACTGTAACAAAGGTTTGTCTAATTATAATATAAAGCTGTTTGCCTCAAGAAAACTCAAGCAGAAGGTAAGTAAACTAATCTCCCTATTCTGCAACATTAATGTAGATTTTTGCAATTATTTTTCTCTACTACATTAATAATTAAAATCTGTAGCAGTCCAGATAACTTAGAGATGCACATCTAATTATTTTGCATAGTTGTAACGATGAGATCAAAATATTTTTTGTTCACTTTTAATTTGGGGGATTAATAGTAACAAAAATGCATTTTCAGTATTTACTGAAGCAATGGATATCTACTGATGCTGTGTACGTATGACTCACCAGTCTCTCATTCTTAGAAAAGGACGTTTCTTTTACCAGAAGGATACTTCAATCAATATTGTGTAACGGTACTCAAAGCATACTGTTCTGTACTGTGCTGTCACTATTTTAAAAGCATTGTTGACTGCCTATGTCCAGTTTGAACTGAATGTACCTTTCACAAATGTTGACATCATTTTGAACTAATAGGGTAAATTTTGAAAAACAAATTCATTCTGTAGCTGCTCATGCCTTAATAAAAGTATGCAATGTATTAAAGATGTTTCTTAAACATTTACTCTGAAGTACTAAGAAAAAGTAGAAGTATGAACATTTTAATAATTAGAAATTACCTCAGTTGTTATACTTGGAAAGAAGTATTTAATGACACCTGAAGTGTACTTCTGAAAATGCTATTCTCAAAATAAGGCTAATTGTTTGGGGAAATTTCATTAATATTAATTGTATGATTTAATAACCTGTGACAGGCTCACTAACAGAGTACCATAAATAACATAACTTTAGCAGATCAAATGCAGTTGCCTTCATGAATGTAATGATTCAGATCTATCTTCATGTTTGACATTTATGCTCTAAGCCAGAACCTGATAGTTTCATGTTTCAGGCGCTTTCCCTGTTGTTCTGATTCATGTAGTAGTGATTTTAGACACCCATGATCACTGAAATTGTATCCTGTAATCCAGATGATGGCACAGACATTTTTCTTTTCCAGTTTACTCATGTCCTAATTCTCTGTCATGCTTATCTATTTCAATTCCCATGTTTTTCTTATTTTTGAAGTTGCCTTCCCAAGCACTGACCCCACTTTCCAGACAACTTCCCTCGTCTTGGTCACCCATTGATCAAAAGATTCTCCAGGCTGACTCTAGTGACTTGGTCTCAAGGACTGTTGGGTTTTCACCTTCAGACATGAGCAACTTAACTTCTCCATCAGTTCCAGACAGTTTTCTTTGTGACTTAGAAGAACTCAATTCTTTGGCATTAGCAATCTCCCAAACTGTAGCAATCTCCCCAGGTAATAGCATTCAGCACATGAAGGATGATCACTTTATGCCAAATACAGAGGCGTTTCTCAGCTCTCCTACGGCTCTTCCTCTGTCCTTTCTTGTATCTCCCTCTGTCTCATCTTCAGCCAGCTCATCTCATGACATAGCATATAAGCATGTCACCAACAATACCAAGTCAGGAAAAGATAAAGACTTAGAAGGCATAATTGATCCTTTAGTTATTGAAGTGCCTAGAGATTTGTCAGATACTGCAAGAGAACGTGGACATGGCACTATCCATAACATCCCTTCACCCTATGAAGAAGGTTCCTTGTCCAGTGTGCTAGCTGCAAGTGCTGAAAATGAAGAGGAAATCTGTACTGCAGACCTATCACTTAATAGAGGGGATCATTCAGAACCTCAAGAATCAGATTTCCCTGGAGAAGCACAAGACACAACAGAAGAACTGACTAGACTGTATATAGAGGAGGATCTTGTACATGATAATTTAGAATTCCCAATAGCAAGTGGAGAAGATTCAATGGATTGTTATGAAGGATATATTTCACCAAATATTGATAAGGTATTTTAATTTCTGACAACCCTGACTTCTTGTGTTCAGATAACTTACTATAATTATTCTCTGCCTTGTATTTACGTTTTTATTGTGCAAAGGCACACTTTTATGTAATTGCATTTGATAAAATAGAGCTCTGAGCAAGCTGGCTGATCTTTAAGGTTCCTTCCCACCCAAACCATTCTATGATTCTATGATTAAAAATTGTCAACGTTAGGGGACAGTCCCTTCTCAGAAGCAGGCATATGCACCTTTATAAATTCTATGATGTATCAATTGTTCTGGTCCTTTCCCTCCTGTTCTTATTGTTTGCTGAGGAGCTGCTGATGTGAAAAGCCAGTGGACCATTTCCCTCACTAGCCCATTGTGTGCTGCCCTTTTTGAGAGAGGCCCCAGCAAGCAAATGCTGCCAACAGCCTCCAGAGGGAGGGACATGTGCCTCCTGCAGGGACTCTGCGGTTTGTGCTCCGCGTGTGTCAGTTCACCAGCTGATGTATTTATAGCAGGCTCCCTTAGGAGGATCTGACTAACAGTAACAGATCAGATTATGTTTGGCAGTTAGACAAATGCTTCCTCCTGAAGCCCTCTTCAGTTCCTCTTTGGAACAGTATATCACTGAACTATCCCAAATGTGTGCTGGCCATTAAATGCCACAGTATAACTATACAGTTTGTGTGGTTTGCAGGCACAGATCTTTTGTCTGTCCAGCACTTACTTCAACAGACTATTCAGGTAGTCGGTTTGACTGTCAGCATGCAAGTCAGGTGCATAGGACAATATGTTTTAGGCCAAATGTTAAACTATTTAATTACATTTTACAGGCTGCCTTTACCCTTAAATGACCTGAAAAACACAGGAGAAAACTTAAGAATAGAGGTTGAAATCCATGGCCACAAATGGCAACTTTTAATGCTTTCTGAGGCAATAAATTTCTTCCAGAAAAGTAGATGACGAACAATAAAATTCACATGAGAT